TAAATTTTGCAACAAAGTCTGGACAACGGAAGCAGAAATCCCGGGACCAGAAGATCTGTATGTGGACCTCTTCTGAAGTCCCAGGATTTTTTTTTTTTGCCCTTTTTAAAACCCGTGATTTAGTGCTGTCTAGAAGTGCCCTCGGGCAATGGATATAATATTACACAATAAAGCTACCTTGGTTCCTTCCAAATTGATACAGTGAGAGAACTTGAGACTCCGTGGCCACTTGCTGGGCCTATCCTTGACCGGTTCATCCCGCTGGACGCAGGGGCTGTCGATAGGCTTATAGCTGCAGCTAGACCGACCACTTGCTCCCTCGATCCATGTCCCTCTTGGTTGGTGAAATCCTGCTTGGAGAGATTACGTGACCCTCTGCTGAAGATAATAAAAAGCTCCCTTGAGCAAGGAGTCTTTCCAGAGGGTTTAAAAGAGGCGGTGGTCTCTCCCTTGCTGAAGAAACCAGACTTTGATTGTTCCGTTCCCTCCAGTTACCGCCCAGTTTCGAATCTCTCGTTCCTGGGCAAGGTGATTGAGAGAGCAGCAGCGGAGCAGTTGCAGCAATTCCTAGACGACACAGCCGGACTAGATCCCTTCCAGCCCGGCTTCCGTGCAGGGCATGGGACAGAGACTGTGCTGGTCTCCATCACGGATCACCTTCAATGCCAGCTTGACCAGGGTGGGTCAGCGGTGCTTGTGTTACTGGATCTCACAGCAGCATTTGACACAGTCAACCACAATCTTTTGACCCACCGCCTTGCTGTTGCTGGAGTCAGGGGGGCAGCTTTAAACTGTCTGTCCTTTCTTCACAACCATGAACAGCGAGTGGAGAGGGGAGGCCTGGTCTCTCAGAGGTCCCCCCCCTCTCTCTTGTGGGGTTCCTCAGGGGGCCATTCTCTCCCCTCTGTTGTTTAACATCTCTATGCGACCACTTGCTCAGCTGGTTCGAGGTTTTGGGCTGGAGTGTTACCAGTACGCTGATGACACTCAGCTGGTGCTGAAGATGGAAGGCCGACCGGACTCTGTACCCAATTATTTCCATCAGTGCCTCGAGGCCGTTACTGGATGGCTGCGTGCCAGCAGGTTGAGGGTGAATCCGGCAAAGATGGAGATTCTATGGCTGGGTCAACCGGGCAGTGGGGACATCCAGCTGCCTACCCTGGATGGCAAGGCGCTACGCCCGTCATCGTTGGTCAAGAGTCTGGGAGTCCTTTTGGACCCTCTGCTGACGATGGAGGCCCAGGTCTCCGCCGTGAGCAGAACCGCCTTCTTTCACCTGCAGCAGACTAGATGGCTGGCCCCCTCCCTGTCCAGGGATGACCTCACTATGGTGATCCACGCCATGGTCATCTCAAGACTGGACTACTGTAACGCTCTCTACATTGGCCTTCCTCTGTCGGTGATCCGGAAACTCAAGTTGGTACAAAATGCAGCTGCTCGGCTTCTTGCGGGAATTCCGATGAGATGCCACATCACCCCAATCTGACTGCAGCTACATTGGTTACCAATTGAGCACCGGATCACTTTCAAAGAGATAGTACTCACCTTTAAGGCCTTGCATGGTCTGGGGCTGATGCATCTGAGGGACCACCTTGCCCCCTACCAACCCCAGAGATCCCTCCGTTTTGAGGACCAGGATCTATTGGAAGTCCCCAGTGTCAAGACCTTGCGTCTAACAGCAAGCAGACGCAGAGCCTTCACAGCAGTGGCACCATCACTCTGGAATACTCTGCCACCTGAAGTCCGTGCCTTGCGGGACTTATGTATGTAAGACATACCTGTTTCGATAGGCTTTTAATGTTTGATATTGCTGTTTTGAAATTGTTTTAAAATGCTTTTAAATTTTGTTAGATTTTAGCTATTCTTGTAAGCCGCTCCGAGCCCCAGGGGAGTGGCGGCATATAAGTTCAAATAATAAATAAATAATAAATAAATAAAATTTGCAATTATAGCATTGTGATTCCGCTTTTTATAAATCTCTCCTTCCCTTTAGTATATACACGTTTTTGTAGCTATATCCATTTTCTAAATAATGTGAATCAGGAATTTTAGTGTGACGATTTTATACAGCTTAGAAATACTCGTATTTAGTGCTAAAAGTAAATTCCTCCATTGAATTTGCTAATTAATTAGACCAATCATTCCATTAAACGTTTTCTCTGAAATCGATAAAAATGGTTGATAACGACTTAAAGTAATGAGAACTGTAAATTGTCACTCAACTCCAGCTTCAGCGCGTTTAATGATTAAACTAGGAAATATTAACATCACTGCCAAAAGCTTGACATATTAGAGGCTAACACTAAAGTTAAACTTTTATGAATTATTTCCAAACTGCCAAATAGTTTGGACAGTATTGTACAAATTGTGATGTCAGTCCAGGATGCGTTTCCCAGTAGATGCTTCTGGAAAATTAAAATTGATACAGGGTTGGTGTGCTGGTACGGCTGTACCAGGAGCTCCAACTTCTTTTCCTTTCTATTGAGTGTTTGCATGTATTCCAAAGTTCCATGCAATTTGCAATAAGGTGGCTTCCCTTGGTTTGCAATCATAGGGCCAATGACCCATCAATTATCATTATGTTCTTTAGTTCCGCACCTTTTTCTGGGTTAAGGAGGGAAAAAGGGAAGCTCTAGTTCAGTTCACACAGAGAAGCCTTTCATACAGGACGTGAATCAGATCCACCTGTAGAAAGCTTTGCTGGGGGGATCCAGTCCCACAGCTCTACAGAGAACTTCAGCATAGCCTTTGTTGGGGAATTTAGTTCCACAACTCTACAGCCAGCTCTTTGCTGGGAATTGAAAGCCTTCTTTCCCCCTGGAAATCTACTAAAGGACTCTGTTTGGTAAGGACCACTCTCGGCAGCCATAACGCAATTTGGACCGGGTGTAGGGGCCCACGCCAGCAGAGCTTAAGTCAGATTTCCCTGGGAGGAGTCAAGGATTTCCCTTGTAGAAGGAAGAAACAGTTTATGAAGAAAGTTGCCTGTCCCTTGTGGACAAGATTTAAGCAAGCCACCAGTTGATTCAAAGCCTTGAAGTATTTGTTTGATTTATTGAAGATTTAAGCAACAATAAAAACTTTGATGAACTTTCTTTAAAATAACTTTGTGTGGGGAAATCCGAAAGGCCTCTCAGCCGAGGCACCCCCGGCGTCCCGTTGGGC